AAGCTTTCGTGAGCTACAGCTCACTTTATTGGATGTTTTTAGATCACAGCCTGTATCAGGAAGGTAATTGGGTAATATTTTGTGTCAGGATAAACATGGGCAAATCTGACACGTGGTACTATTTCTTGCACTTAAATTCTTTATCGATGCTGTGGTCCTAAAAAGAGAAGGAAACAGCCTGCTGGCCTTTATATCACTTTTGCATTACAGAGCACATTATTTGTATGCATTAGTGAAGGATGCAGTTCTGTAGTACTAATGTAGGGGTGCTCAACCTTCACCGAGTTCAGATCCACAGGGCCAAGGTGCAGAATGCTGATGGCCCTCACTTACCTTTCGTGAAACTGATCTGATAGCAGCCATGCTTTTTTCTCTCAATACAGAAACTACAGGTCCCAGCATGCAACACTTCATCTAGATCTGAGGGGTCATTTCCTACCTTGACCAATGTTGATGTTTGTAAAGTGATTTGAAATCCTTAGTTATGTAATGCTAGAGAGGAACGAAGGATTATCGTGATTTAACTATTGGCAACCGCAAGCATTCAAAAATCACAAGTCAGACCCCCAAAATAATGAGTGCAGCTTAAAAATAATGAGATTTAAAATAAAAAATTGGGGGATTCTTTTTATTTGCCTTCTAGTTTTGAACCTTCAAACTACACTCAGATCAATCTTTTCTCTGCAGCCATTAAGGCTAGAAACTTACTTTTTAAAAAATGAAAGCTGACATTCTCATGTATTCACATGACTCTCGGAGTTGAAGCTTAAAGAAAAATGCAAAATATTGTAAGGCTCACAATAAAATTGCAAGAGTTGGCAGCACTGCCATTTTCATTGGAAATCTCTTTGAAGGGTGAATATTACACCCATGTAAAACAGTGAAGTGGAGAGAGTTAAAAAAAGAACACGAAGAAAAGAAACAATAGTTTTAAACTTTCACACACAAAAATCCCAAACCCCCAACAAGTTGGGCAGTTGTAGTGGAAAAGCTTTAAATTGGGGAAGTGTGAATATGGGTATTTTCATTTCAAGAGCCTGCTAATACAGTACCAGTAGTGACTGTAAATATGGCTGGGAGAGGGCATGTTTTTCCTATGTCAGATACTTGTTAAATGTTTTCGTTCTTGTTAATGTTCCAGTTAGCCACAGCTCAGCTCTGCACACCGACGGCTAATTATTACATTGGGGGCTGTAAAAGACAAATCCAAGCACTACTCCCCAGGCAACAGCCTGGGACTTGAGGTGCTATGGTTACATCGTATGAAGCGGTATGGGACCTACACCTCCTATTATTGTTTTTCTCCATCTATATTAAGCTTAACCAGGATGCCACTAGGTCAAGGACAATGTGGTACCCTTAATTCAACATTCCTGGTGTTTTGCTGCACGCTTAACTTTGAGTGTGTGTAAATTATATATATATTTCTCTCTATAGATGGCTTTGTGATCACTTCTCTTATATATCTACACTCCTGGAAACTTTTGAGTAGGGATTTATCCAACCCCCCTGGCTCTAGAATTCTGGAAAGGTTCAGATCCTCATTTGAAGCTTGAGCTCATCTTTGGTTTTAATTAATATTTCTTTTTAGCTCTCATTTGTCTGATTGTAAAGTTATGTCAATGACAAATAACGGTGGTCCAGCTAAGCAATATGTATAGTGGAAGAGTGAGATACTTAATAATTATACACAGTATAATTCACAGTTATTCTCCCGGAATGTGTATTTTGTATTCATGTGTTTCTGATCTTGTTCTCAATGTGCGGGTTGAGCAAAACAGTCAGAATAATGTATTGAGATTTTTAGGCAAGCGTTTGATACTGTGCCTCCTGCCCGTAGGATTTACAATTTCAGAGAGTGCAATTATGGCAGGGAACAATGAAATGGATTAGAAATGGGGGGAGTGTTCACTGGTGTGTTAGAGCAGTAGACTCAGTGTAATGACACTGGGGCCAAGTTCAGCTCTAGAGTAAGTCTGGTGCTCAGTTTATGTATGGGCTATATTCTGTCCCCAGCTATCTGACCATGGGCATATCAAACGTCATCTCTGTGCCTTGCTTTCCCCATCTCTAAAATCAGAGTTGGCTACCTCACAGGATGTAGTGAGACCTAATATTTGTTCTTTATAGAGACTTTCATTCCAGCAACTAAAAGCAGTTTACAAAGAATCAATAATTATTAGGGGCAGGAAACAAAGTGGCACGTTAAGCATTTTGTGCAAAACCAGAAAATTCAGTGTGTGTAAATAGGATGGGTACTTGAAAGGCTAATATTAATACTTTCATAGTCCATCCAAAAAATCTTAAAGTACTTTACAAATTTTAACTAAACCTTAGTATAGCCCTGTGAGGTGCCTTAGCTAAGTATGAATAGCTTCCTTTTACCTCACTTTGATTGTTTAAACAAGTTATCCAATAAAGAATGAATGGGAAAACAGTTGAGAATTAGCTGAGAAATAAATTGATGTCCCATTTCAGCTCTTGCATTAGTAATTACCCTCCTGCTTTGTAATAATTTCATTTAGTTGCCTGGTGCCTAGTTCACTCATGTCAACTTTGTCATGAATTAGGGTCTTTTATGTACAATGTGAGATTTGTAGTTGTGATTTGTTTGCTTTGGTTTCTTAATACTTTAAAAACTGTCTCTATTGAATCGGTTCCTGGGTTTTAACAAGAGGAAACCAAAAGCTGTTGTGAGCAGAGTGGAGAAAAGGGTCATAGTTGGATGCCCTAGGGTTCTACGTTTTGCATTGGTTTAATTTCAATATATTTATCAGAGAAGTTCAGTGAAGTTATTTTTGATTATGGTCAATTGCCAAGTTGCTTTGGTAAGTCTGTCAAAAGCACAGAGGCATATGAGACAGTCCACATGGGGCGATTATGAAGCACAATGGGGGAGGTAAGGAAATGCATAACTGTGGGGGGGGGGGAATGTTTAAGATCATCCACCAATGGGCACTGACCATGCATGAGTCTTTGTGTCCAGTGATTTGGGAATGACTGGACTCAATGAAGAGATGTTTGTCCAGCATGCAGTAGTAGTTAAAAACAAATGTAACACCAGAGTACATTTTAAAAAAAGATAGAAAACAATATCGACCATACTGTAGTGTAATGAACTGGCTGGTGTCCATGTGTACCACTGCCCTCTACTGGATGGAACCAGAACTGTTCAATTGTGTGTGTCAGACTCATAGGCCCTATACTGCTACCAGCTAATCTGATTCTACTTTAGCTTGACGGTGCTTCAGGAGCAGGAGAGACGCAGTGGCCATGGTGTGTGGCATAGTGGCCACTGTGGATGTCGAGGTAGTTGTGGATTTGTTGTATCACTCCAGTGACAATATACTGAATAATGGGGCACCCTGTTTTGGAGCCTTGTGTTCCGTTATGGGTGCTGCACTTTGAGAAAGTTAAATCTGAGACTGGAAAGCTCCAGAGAAAGGCAGAGAAGAAGGTGAGAGGTCTGTCAGAATTTACAGATGAGGAGAAACTACCCAGGCTATATTTATTTAGACTTGGAAAGAGAAAACTTAAAGTAGATGTAAGTGAGCTATTTAGGGTTACAAATAGTATAGTAAACAGGAATCTGCCAATCCTTTATATTGGCTCTCAGGTTACAAGAACAAGGGGTCACTCAATGAAGTTAATGGTAGGTAATTAAAAAAAAATAAAAGGAAATCCTTCACACAGCATGCAGCCAGCCTGTGGAATTCACTACTGCAGGTGGCTGCAAAGTCAAATGCTCTCCTGGAATTTAAACCAGGGCTGGATAACTTTACAGCCAATGAAAGAATGTGCAGTTATATATGCTAAGGGCCTGATCTTGCAAAAGGCACTTCCTGAGCAGCTTCAATGGGAATTAAAGGTTGGGTCCTAAAACAGCAACCAAATCTCATGCTTCATGGACCCAGATGAACACCATGGGGGTCCGGAGGAAAATTGTTCCTTCTTGTTTACCATTGTGCAACTGGGCAGATAGTCATCTGCTTCTGAAGCAGTACTGGTCATTGCCAAGGGACAAGAGACAAGATACCAGACTTGGGGGACTACTGGTGTGACACAATGTTCCACACCCTTTACTCCAGGGTAACTCACACACAAACGTTTTAGTTATATATTCATTTATATTTAAGTGCAAGCAGGGTGTTGGGATAAAATCACCCCTGCATAGACCAGGGCCTTATTGTTGTTTAAGTGCTGCCAATGTGCTCAAAAAGAAAAGGAGGACTTGTGGCACCTTAGAGACTAACAAATGTATCTGAGCAAGAGAACCTCCTCTGGCAAGTTTGCAATCTCAGTCAGAGCTGGAGAAGCTGGGAGCCCAGAGGCAGGAACAACTGAGGAGGGTGTGGGTGTGTGTAACGTGTTGTTACCGGGCCTCTTGCAATTCTCTTGACAAGTAAATAATAATGGCAGAGAATTATTTGCTGTCAGATGCTTTCACAAAACCCCATCGCTGCCCCTCTCCTGTGCCGTCCACAGCCTGGTTTGGCGGCGGGAGGAGAAGCCTCACACTTGGCCTTTCTGTAGCACTTTTCATTTCTCAGGGCTTAGGGCGAAGCTGAGGTGCCCCTGCCCCCTCCCTCCCCGGTCTGCAAAGCCCCCGGCCCCTTCTCCCCGGGATGGGGCTGCGGAGGAGGGCTGGCCAGGGCACCAGCGGAGCCGGGCTTTGGCTGGTGATGTCAACCTCTAGGAGGAGCCTGTGCCTGTCCTTTTACTTTCAGGCTCCATGTAATTAGCATGAGGCTGTTAGTCACTTACTGGTGTTACCCGCGGGGGCTCGACCATGAAATCCCCCCCTTCAGCCTCCCCATGGACCCGAGGAACTTTTAAGGCAGGGGCTGCTGCCGCTGCTTCCCCTTGATCTTCCTGCTTCCTTCCCCTCCCCCCGCCCCCCACTCTACCCCGGGTTCATTAATAATCACCAGCATCAGTGTTACTAGCCGGTGTGACCTGCGCCGGGCATGTGAAGCCCCCCCCCCCTCCCCAGCTGCACCATGCGAGCAACGTGCACTTTGCTGCTGCGCCAACTTAGCCTCCTCCTGCTGCTGCGGGAGCCCGCTGCGGGATCGGGCCCCTTCGCCTCCTCCAGCGACCCCCCTGCTCGGACCCAGCTCAGCGGAGCCACCACGCCGGCCGCGGGGCCGCAGGGTTCTCCCAGCCGGGGCGTCTCGGCCGCTGCGGCGGCGGCGGCGGCGGCGGCTGCTTCCCGGCTGCCTCCCTGGGAGAGGGAGAGCTCCGTGCCCTGGGCGCCGCCAGTGTCCGGCAGCACCTCGGAGCCGGCCGCGGGAGGACACACCAGCAGCCCGGGTGAGTGAGGCAGGGACGGGAGGGAGCAAGGCACAGGGGCTGCTGCTGCTGCTGCTCTGGGGAGGGCGTGGGGGGCGCTCTCCCGCTCCGGCACCCACCCAGCTCGCCCCTCTGTGCCCCTGAGCCCTGGCACCCTTCTGGCTTCGGCAAAGGCGCTGCCCTGCCTGGCGGGGGCTCCCCCTTTCCCAGCCCTTGCTCGCTGCCCGCGGGAGCGAGCGTGTGTGTTGGTTGTGGGGGGCTGATCAGATCGTCCCGCGTCCCAGCAAGGACAGGCAGGGCTGGGCAGCACCGAAGCCAGCTGCAGAGAGACCCGGGCCAAGTGTGTGGCTATTTTTGGAGCAAAAGCATTGCAACTCCCCACCCTCTGCAAAAATCCCCTCCACGCCGCTACACTTCCAGGGAGGATGAGTTGGTTTGGGTTTTTAAAATAAGCATGTCCCTATTTTGTCGCCCGCTCCCACCCCGAAAATCCCTATTTGCAGCTTTCAAAAGTTGGCAAGTAGGTCGCATGTGTGTATGTGGGGGGGCCAATGCACCTCCTCGGCCACTTTGCAGCGCTCGCTGGGGTGCGGCGTGGGAGCGTATCCAGGGGGAATGGGCTCTGGTTTGTGTTATCCCAGAGGGTGGAGAGAGAGAGAGCCGCGAGGAGTTGTCCTAAGAAGTGGCGAACCAGCTGCTGGGGTAGATGGTTGGAATTATGTCATTGTCACTTGCTGGGGTGAGCCTGCCTGGGGGCTCCGGGCTGCGGTGGGAACGCTGCGAGCAGGCTGGGGGCTTGTCCCGAGTCTACTTCCTGGCGGATTTGGGTACACAGGCATGGGGAAGCTGTTTCTGGGTAATGGGGAAATCTCCAACACAAAGGGCTGCAAAGGAAAGGAAAGTTCATGTAGGAGCTCCAGCAAGGGGGTGTGTGTGGGCAGCGCTGCAGAACAGCGGTCACCCTTCAGCTGGGTTTAGGTCTGACCCAAAGCCCCTTGAAGTTGATGGAAAGACTCTCTTTGAATCGTGCCCTTGGAAAGCTAAGGAGTTTAGCCTCCGATTGCAAAGTCTGTGAGATAACATATACATGATAAAGGTACTGTTGGCTGAATCCCTTTCAACATACTGGAATTGTACCACAGCAAAGGTTAAGGCCCTGATCAGTGTAAGCATTTGTGTCATTCTGGTGACCTTAGTAGCTGATCACCTATGATACAAAAGGAGAGAGAGAAAATTTTGGACTATTTCTCCTCTTCAGGTTTTACATTTAATTTGCAATCCTCCTCAGGCTGTTTTTTGTGGCAACGTTTTATTAAAATGCAAAACAAGTGCTGTTGTAAAAAAGAAAATAAATGGTCTCCTGTTAGTTAATACATATGGAATTAAAATTTACATTCCTGGCTGTTCTGTAAAATCTCAGATGTAGTTTAGAGTTTCAAAAGTTTAAATGGTACATTGTTGGGAGAGAATAGAATATGAAAAGAAATACCACTGGGTTTAAAAGATGATTAAGTTAAACAGAGTATGATGCCTCTATACTTTTAAGTACAGACTACAGAAGCCTGTGACAAAATATCAAACTGAACTGTAAAGAAATATTATAAGCACAGATTCACTTGCTTTGGTAATTATAAATTATTGGGTCCCTTGAAATCACTTGAACATTGCACAGTTGTATACTAGTGTAGAAAAGGAGGGTTTGAGCAGATGAAGGCTTGTGCAAAGAATACAATAAAATTCATTCAGATTCCTTCATTTACATATTTCAGATTGTAAATTTCCACTATACTGACTGAATTAACTTTAAAAGATTCTACCTCCTGCTTTTTAAAAACAACGTGGAAATGAAAATGACAAGGCTAGCAGAACTTCAGTAGGAAGTGGATAAGCTCCAGGATGGTCCTTAGTTCAATAGCCGACTCTTAGAATGGCCGTTGGTTTCAGAGTAGCAGCCGTGTTAGTCTGTATTTGCAAAAAGAAAAGGAGTACTTGTGGCACCTTAGAGACTAACCAATTTGTTTGTTTGCATTCCAAAGGTGCATATTTTACCAGGTGTTACACAATGCTTCCAGGGCAGGAAATCAGCAGGTGCAGTGAGAATTCTTCTGTATACCACCCAGATGTTTTCTTCATTCAGATTTCCCCATATCCTGCTTCACATTGATTACTGGCCTATCAGATCCAGATGTAGGGGATTTTTTAGAACTGTAACAATTTCTTTCTTTCTTTGCTGCACTTCTGCTGTGAAGAATGGGAAGCTAGTCACAATAGACTGTAAAATCCTCTTCTTATTAGTCATCTGTCAGATATACACTATACACAGGTATCCACTGGTCAGTGCCTAGATTGGTGCTTTATAAATATCTTGGGTAGTCATTACACACGCTGGCGCACAGGGCAAATTTTTTATAGGGAAAGTGGATATAATTTTAAACAGCATGACTTCCCTGTTTTCCAACTTGAACACGTAACTCTAAGGATGATTAATAAGTTTGAAAAGATGGCACTGGATTTCTATGTACAGTGTAAAGAAATCTAGCATGTGATAAATATAGCTTCAGTGGTTTTAAAGCCAGAAGGGACCACCACTATGATTACTGACCTCGTGGTCACACTGGCCATAGAATTTCACCCAGTAATTTCTGCTGTGGAGAGAACTATTTAGTGTGCTATTTAGAGATGTACTTTATTTATAGAGCTACAATTTCAGAACATATGGTTAAAACTACTTTGAAAAACTATTTTGATTCTCTTAACATATCCAGAAGGTGCCTTTTATCAAATGTACACATATAAGAGAAAGTTTATAACTGGGTGGATCAAATAAAGCTCTATAAAGAACTATGTTCAATAATGTTTGCATAACAAGGGAGGAAGGCTAGCCCAGCAGATAGGGCACTGGCCTCCATTTAAGAGGCCTCAGTTCTATTGCATTTTCAGCCACAGAAGTCTCTATGTTTCCTTTGGATAGTCATTTAACCTATTCTGTGCATCAATTCCCTATCTGTAAAATAAGGGCAATACTTCCGCACCGGACAGAGATAAAATCCATTAATGATCATCAGGTGCTCAGATTTAAATGATGAGGGTCATGTAAATTCCTAGATGGGTAGAAAAATATATAATTTAAGCTCAGATAGCAGTCCAGCATCTTTTCATGACTCTGACGACTCCTGAGTTGAGAGAGGAATGCATTTCAATCATTAAAGTTTGAAAAACTAAAACAATCTGCCCAAGAGCTCTAAAATAAATTTGGCTTATTGTGAGTGACTGCTCAGGCATTTCACTGAGAGCCATTCTCCACAGAATTTACTATGCTGTAGTAGACCATGAATTATGTCCATCTTAACCTAGGAGGAATTAGGAAGGCTGTGAGCATGGTGGCTTTTGGAAACCATGGTAAACTACATAATAAATTGCATTATGTCCTGACAACTAGATGTTAGGTAAGGTTCTATGCCTGTCAGTCAAGATAATGATTCTGTATTATAGCTGTAGGCTGATGTGGTCTACTGAATCATTTGGGGTTTGAGCTACAGACACTTGAAAAGTTAGCTTTTGTTTATCCTGCCTACCCTTCCACAAGCATTTCTTGTAAACTCATCACTCTGTCGCTACATGGAAACGAAGATTGCATCTTGGCAGCTTGTGGTCTGACTCTCTTTGAAGTCAGAATGAAAAAGGTTCTTTCTCAGCAGAGTTAGATAAGTAGATGGTATCAGCAGAGAGGAGCTCTGCAGTGAAACTGAATCTTACAAATTAATGCCTGTGAAAGTGAGCAGCTGACAGAGATGGTTCAAACTAGGCATAACAGAGGCAGGCCCTATCTAAGCTGCTCTCCACACCTCTGCCAGGGCACCTCAGTCTTGACTTTCAACTTCACCTCCATTCCCTTCAGTAGGCTGTTTGTGCCCAAACCGTGCAATCATTTTGTGATGTGAATACATTAGGACTAGGCCAAATCCTTTTTGCTTGTTGTGTAAAATAGAAACTGAATCCGGGCACAGATGTATTCAGAAAAAGTAGTCGTGCTGAGAAACAGGACAAATGGTTTGAGCAATAGCTGGAATTATGGGACCACCTAATCTCTCTGCTATGCATTTTCTATTGGCAGTTGTTTTATCTTAATATCATAGCATGAGGGGGTGTGCCTGAAAGGAAGTGGCCAGCCTGTGGGTAGGGCATTGAACTGGGACTTGGGAGATTGGGGTTCAATTCCTAACTGTGCCACAGACTTCTTTATGTCCACTGGCAAGTCATTTTATTTCTCTGTTCCACTTCCTCACCTGTAAAATGGGGATAATAATACTTCCCTTTTCATATGTGTCTGTTGTGTCTACTTTGATTTGTAAAATCTTTAGGGCAGGGACTGCCACTTGCTCTTGGTATTTGTACAATGGGTCTTTGATCTGGGCTGTGGCCTCTAGGTGCTACCATAATACAAACGATGATGATAAAGGCTAGCACTGGGCCTCTACAAGTTTCCTATCTAGACAAGGGTCCTTAGTCAAGCAAATCTTTCCCCTTCTGTCTTTTCCCCTTTCTTCTCTGCTGTCCCTCTTATGTGGCCATGGTACGTGAGGCACTCGGATAGCATGGTGATGATGGGAGCCGTGCAAATGCCTAAATAAGTAGATTCCTCCTTTCCATGTCTGTGTTGTCTTTCCTTCCTTCCTTCCTCCGTCATCTTTTCCATGCCAGTTGTTGCCTTGCATTTCTTTAGTAATGCACATTATGAGCATTAGAAGTAACTGTGTAATATTGACTCTCCTCCGCTCCCATCTCCGAAGCATTCTGGTAGAGGCGGCAAGTTTAGGAGGGTTGGGGAGGAGGAAGATGGGTTTGGGAGGGGGCTTGTGTCCTCAAGCTGGCTTCAAATCTCCCTCCTACTCAATAGTTAGTATTGATCACATGATTCCCTCCAGTCCTTGAGCCCGATTCTCTGTTGCCTGCACCTTATCTAATCATTTACATCAGTGCAAAGTGGACATAAAACACTGCCGTTCTGATCGCACCCACTT